CACACCAACAATACAGCACCACCACCATCATCACACACCAACAGAAACACCACCATCATCAACACACCAACAATACAGCACCACCACCATCATCACACACTAACAACACAGCACCAACCACCACCATCATCAGACACACCAACAACACAGTACCACCACCATCATCACACACTAACAATACAGTACCAACCATCACACATACACACCAACAACACAGTACCACCAACCATCACACACACCAACAACAGCACCACCACTCATCACACACACCAACAATACAGCACCACCACCATCATCACACACCAACAACACAGCACCACCATCATCACACACACACCAACAACACAGCACCACCATCATCACCACACCAACAACACAGCACCACCACCATCACATACACACCAACAACACAGCACCAACCACCATCACACACACCAACAACACAGTACCACCACCATCATCCACACACCAACAACAGTACCACCACCATCATCAACACACCAACAATACAGTACCACCATCATCACACACACCAACAACACAGTACCACCACCATCATCACACACACCAACAACACAGCACCACCATCAACACACCAACAACACAGCACCACCACCATCATCCACCAACAACAAAACCATCAACACACCAACAACACACCACCACCATCACACACCAACAACACAGCACCACCATCACACACACCAACAAACCACCACCATCACACCAACAACACAGTACCACCACCATCATCACACACACACCAACAACAGCACCACCACCATCATCACACACACCAACAAACACAGTACCACCATCATCACACACACACAACACAGTACCACCACCATCATCACACACACTAACAATACAGTACCACCACCATCATCACACACACTAACAATACAGTACCACCACCATCATCACACACATTAACAATACAGTACCACCATCATCACACACACTAACAATACAGTACCACCATCATCACACGTCAACATTATCACCATATCGACATAACATTACATACACACTCATCACACGGGTACTAACACTCCTCACCACACATCATCATCCCCACTACACAGAAAGATCATCAGCTTCACCACACTGCAAAATAACACTTATCACCACATTCTAAATTATCCTCAACAGTCATCATAAAATTGCCTCACCATCATCATCATCATCATCATCATCATTAAAAAACAAATTCACTTGAACACATTACCATCAGTATCGCTTTAACACTACGATGAGTCACTATCACCACCACCACACACATCAACACCATCACTACCAATACACATCACCATCAACACCATCATAACACTCCATCACCATCAATACCATCAGTACACTCCATCACTATCAATACACAACACTTTAGCAGCAACACTATAGACATCATCAACACAGTAACACATGGACGTAAGTAAAGAGCATCAATACACACCATCATTCACCATACACTACAAACAATATCACCACACATAAACAATAACATCACCACACACAAACAAACAATATCACCACATACAAACAATAACATCACCACACACAAACAATAACATCATCACACACAAACAATAACATCACCACATACAAACAATAACATCACCACACACAAACAATAACATCACCACACACAAACAATAACATCACCACACACAAACAATAACATCACCACACACAAACAATAACATCACCACACACAAACAATAACATCACCACACACAAACATCAATAACCATCACCACAAAAACAATAACATCACCACACACAGAAACAATAACATCACCACACACAAGCAAACAATAACATCACCACACACACACAATAACATCACCACACACAAACAATAACATCACCACACACAAGCAAACAATAACATCACCACACACAAACAATAACATCACCACAGACCAACATCTTCACTATACACACGCCAATAATAACACCATCACCATACATCGACACCTACATCACCATCACCATACATTGACACCTACATCACTATCACCCATCGACACCATCACTATGACCATACAACCATGAACTATCTTGTAAAATACATCACTACATCACACAAACACTGTACATTTCACCATACGTAATATGACCACTGTATCAACATTACATAAGAACAATATATTTCACTCTCGGAAGTACCAGCATCACCATACGAACATCACTATAGCACCATCAGTACACGTCGTTTACCAACCTTACATGATTAAACATTAATTCACCATACATAACATCACTATACACCACCACATAACATCACTATACACCACCACAACAGAACATCACTAAACACCACAACAGAACATCACTATGCACCACCACAACAGAACATCACTATACGCCACAAAAGAACATCACTATACACCACCACAACAGAACATCACTATACACCACCACAACAGAACATCACTATACACCACCACAACAGAACATCACTATACACCACCACAGAACATCACTATACACCATCACAGAACATCACTATACACCACCACAACAGAACATCACTATACACCACCACAACAGAACATCACTATACACCACCACAACAGAACATCACTATACACCACCACAACAGAACATCACTATACACCACCACAACAGAACATCACTATACACCACCACAACAGAACATCACTATACACCACCACAAAAGAACATCACTATACACCACCACAACAGATCATCACTATACACCACCACAACAGAACATCACTATACACCACCACAACAGAACATCACTATACACCACCACAACAGAACATCACTATACACCACCACAACAGAACATCACTATACACCACAATAGAACATCACTATACTCACATACCAAACGTTCAAACAATTAATAAATATACCTGCCATTCACCATACACGTACTACAAATACGCTATCACCATTTATCACCACCAGGGACTATCACCATACATTTAAAAGACCAGCGTGCATGATAAACACTAATTTGTGATTGCATGTCTTTAATACGACACCATCAAGAGTTCACTATACACCAAGATCACTCATACCATCACCATTATCACTAGTTTGTTTGTACTACAACCATGAGCACAATGTTATTTCACAACAATAAAAGTTCACCATAAAATATGATCGCAAAGTATCATCAATTCACCATACAGTTACCAGACACCATCAATGACACAACTTCACCACTCCAACATACTTCATCACCAAACATTATACTCATCATCACGAAACCATCTTACACTAACATCACCACCAAACGTCGTCACCATACACTATACTGTCACCAAACTTCACCATACACCATTACTACTAAGTATTTTCATTTTACACTTTCACCACTACACACTGTCACCATAAAATATCACCATTATGCATTCTTCTTATACATCGTCACCATAATACCATCACTACTACCTCTCGTCACCATAATAAATGGTCACTGTAATATTATCACCATACCAGTCACTATATCAAGAATAAGAAAATACACTAACACCAACATACCACATTCCAGCATCATACACCACAGCACAGTAACACCAGACCACTACCATAGAACACCACACATTAATACCATCCAGGAGTACCATAATACCATAATTTAACTCTATATACAACCACACAATAATACCCCATACCACTAGAAATATTAATACAAGCCCAGTACCACATACCAAGAGTAATACCACCGGGCTATACCATCACACCAATACCAACAAATTTTACCTATCACTATATATTCATGCACCACAACACTGCCATTCATGATCACCATCTTCACCATTATCTTGTCACCATACCACATTTCCACCTGTCGACTCTTCACCTGTGTGTGTGTGTGTGTGTTTTGCACCAGCCATACTAAATAATTTATCACCATCATACAGCATCATACCACCATTAAAAAATCCCCTTATCACCATTATATACATCACTATATCACCATCAAACACCGTACTATCTTATCAAAATTAATAATCACTTCTGGGTTACTTTCACCGTGTGTGTGTGTGTCAATAGAAGAGGTCGCAAGAGGTGACAACTACACAGTGGTCCCGCCCCTCTTATTAACATGTCTGCTAATATTTTCCCTGACGTTTTAATACACTTGGTTTGGGGACGTTTTCGACTTCGGGATTTTCTTTTTTTCTTGCAATTCAGAGTTACGAGATTTTGTTCTTTTTGTGTTTATGTTGTGAGGAATTTTTTATTTATTTATTCATTTTTTTTTTTTTACCTTGGGTCTTGGTGTAGCAGATCATTTCAGCTTTAATACCGTGTTTATGGATTCCAAACTCCTCAGTTCAGCTTCTGATATCACCAACTCTCTCTTTACTGGTTCTTTTTGTTTTATCGGGCATTTTTAGCCCGACACCGACCGTTGAATGTCCTTCACTGGCACAATACAACTTCAACACGTCGCTTTTTCAGTTGGCTGGAGCCGTTATCATAACACCACTTGATGAGCAGGAGGAACTAACCAGCAATAAAGTGTGCAACGATAAACCGGCTCATCACTACGATAACTTGCACCAGTTCTTGGGTAATACACTGTCACGTACGTATACACAAATACTGTTAAAGTTGTCTGTTTACTATTAGGAATTTCATTCATTTATCACTTTTCCTTTTTCGTAATAATATTAAATGCATTTATTAATTCGTTACCTATTGAGGATAATCTTGCTACATGGGACTACTGTAGACAACACAACACCAAACAACACAACACAACACAACACAACACCCTCGTAATTTTTTATGGAATTTGCCACAGCTCTCCCTCTATTTATGAAAGAGGTTCCAAACAGGAACTTAAAGGATCGAACGAGTTGGAATCACTAAAGAGCTTGGGCTTACCACACCACGGGCCGGGGAAGATGGCGCCGGTGACACTTACAGTATCGAGACCTGGAAATGCAACACTAGGTGGTATCTGCCCAGGTGTGGTGACACTGTCCCCAGGGGGAGTGTGAGCTTACCTGACATCCGAGGCAAGTTTGTGTGATGGAGTAATTGCTCTCACAGTTGTACTTGAAGAGGAGTGCCTGCTGCTGGTGCAGGACGCGACCCACCATGTCGTCCATCTCCTGAAGGTGCCGCGCCACCGTGGAGCACCCGGCCAATGTCCTGTTTATGACACTCTCCACCTGCTCCTCGCACATGACGGAGTGCAGGGCCATGTGCGGGCAGTACCTTAACGTTACTTTGCGAATTTTTTCCTCCCGTTTTTCCACTTCTTCCGTGGAGCACAGCGCCTCGGGCAGCGTAGGGCACGGAACCCTCCCCCGGAGACACTCCTCCTTGTTCTCCTGGCGACACGTCTGACACTTAGCCTCAAGTTTTACCTCAGGGATGCCCTCCTTGCTCTCCACATCCAAAGGTGCTACCGCCGCGCACTGCTTCTCGCCCTTCTGGTGCTCGGGCGCCGTCCGTGCAGCGGCAAAGGCGAAGAAGTGTTGGTGGTGGATGTGGGTATATTGGTGGGTGTGGTGTACGGTGGCCTGGGTAGTGGGTGGCGGGGGTGTGTACGAGAGTGTGGGCGGGGTAGTGTTAGTGTGCGGCTTGTGAGTGGTAGCGAGGGCGAGGGAGAGTAGGAGCGGTGGTAGGAGGAAGGCGATGGGGGCAGGACGCCAGGGGGGCCGCGGACAGTGCCGACACACCATAACCCCGGCCCGTCCCTGACCCACAGCGCATAGTTACCGACGACACTCAAGGGGGCCTCGCGGGCGGGGGCGGGGGCGGCGGGGGGCCGGGCGGCAGAGAGCCGGAGTCCGCCCACCACAGCAGCGGGTCATGGGCGGCGTGGGCGGCCCCGGGAAACACTATGCCGAAGGCGTACTAGCGTGAAGCTTGCTGCGGCGTGTGCGGTAGGATGGGTGTCGGGTGGTGGGTGGGGTGGGTGGTGAGCGGCACACAGTGGTGGTGGTGAGTGTGGTGCCGGGCTGTGGCGAGCCTGGCTGCCTCACTGGCTCATGCCGGGACCATACTGAGGCTGGCGCACACCTCCACCACCCCGCTACCTCAATCAATACACACACCCACCATGCGCACACTCCCACTCTCCGCACCCCACGCGGGATAACCCCACTCATCACACTCACTACACTCACCATTCACCACACTCACCACACTCATTACGCACCACACTCATTACGCACCACACTCATTACGCACCACACTCACCACACATCATTCACCAATCCTTATGCTCACCACTCACTACAATTAGCAGTCACCACTCCAACCACGCTCAACACTCACTACACTTACCATATTCACCACTCACTTCTCATCACACTCTCCTATCACCAATATTTAACTTATACCACTCACCACGCACTCACCACAGCCATTCCTCTTACCTGATTCACCATCCTCACTACACTCATCTACTCTAACCACTATCAATTACAGTCATCACTACCCTTCATCATACTCATAACCACCATCATCCATCACACTCACCACTACCCCTATACACCACTCACGCTCACCACTCGCTCCAGCCACCACCAGTCACCAAATATCAATAATAAAGACAATGAACAAGTTGTATATACTATTTTGCCTAAGATAAATATTCACCTCGCCAATGTGACTAAAAAATCTGAAATGCAAAACAAAATCTGGAACTCAAAACAGAATCTAGAAGTCAAAAAAAAAATCTGAAACACAAAACAGAATCTGAAATGGAAAACAAAATCTGGAACTGAAAACAGAATCTAGAACTCCACTAAAAATCTGTAACGCAAAACCAAATCTGGAAAGCAAAACAATATCTGGAATTCACAACAAAACCTGAATTTTAAAACAAAATCTGGAACTAAAACCAAAACCTGGAACTCAATAAGTTCTGGAAAACACAATATCTGAGGAAAACAAAAATCAACACAAAATCTGGAACATTACAGGATTAATGAAAAATCGGTTTATATGAGTAATCCTTAAACAAACTGTATTGAAGATTACCTTGAAGGGGATTACCGTATACACACATTAAACACAAGGATTATCATGGCAAGTGTGGTTTAAGTAATTACCATACTTTAATTGAACCACTTAACTATGGTTTAACTAGTTGCCATATATTAGCTGAACCTCTTGCAGGATTTAACCAGTTTCCATACATTAGTTAAACCTCTTCGGGGTTTAAATAGTTGCCATACATTGACACAAGAATCCAGACGCCAACTGATAGGACTTAGGCGAGTGTCGCCATGTTCAGGCGAGTGTCGCCATGTTCAGGCGAGTGTCGCCATGTTCAGGCGAGTGTCGCCATGTTCAGGGGAGTGTCGCCATGTTCAGGCGAGTGTCGCCATGTTCAGGCGAGTGTCGCCATGTTCAGGCGAGTGTCGCCATGTTCAGGCGAGTGTCGCCATGTTCAGGCGAGTGTCGCCATGTTCAGGCGAGGCGAGTGTCGCCATGTTCCGAGCAGTGTCGCCATGTTCAGGCGAGTGTCGCCATGTTCCAGGCGAGTGTCGCCATGTTCAGGCGAGTGTCGCCATGTTCCAGCGAGTGTCGCCATGTTCAGGCGAGTGTCGCCATTTCGGAGGCAGTGTCGCCATGTTCGGGCGAGTGTCGCCATGTTCAGGCGAGTGTCGCCAGTTCAGTGTCGCCATGTTCGGGCGAGTGTCGCCATGTTCAGGCGAGTGTCATGTTCCGGAAGCGAGTGTCGCCATGTTCGGCAGTTCGCCATGTTCGGGGAGTGTCGCCATGTTCAGGCGAGTGTCGCCATGTTCAGGCGAGTGTCGCCATGTTCGGAGCGAGTGTCGCCATGTTGGGCAGAGTGTCGCCATGTTCGCAGAGTGTATCGCCATGTTCAGGCGAGTGTCGCCATGTTCAGGCGAGTGTCGCCATGTTCAGGCGAGTGTCGCCATGTTCAGCGAGTGTCGCCATGTTCGGGGAGTGTCGCCATGTTCCGGGGAGTGTTGCCATGTTCAGGCGAGTGTCGCTATGTTCGAAGTGTTGCCATGTTCAGGCGAGTGTCGCTATGTTCAGGGGAGTGTCGCCATGTTCAGGGGTGTTGCCATGTTCAGGCGAGTGTTGCCATGTTCGGGGGTGTTGCCTGTTCAGGCGAGTGTCGCCATGTTCAGGGGAGTGTCGCCATGTTCAGGGAGTGTTGCCATGTTCAGGAGAGTGTCGCCATGTTCAGGGGGTGTTGCCATGTTCAGGCGAGTGTCGCTATGTTCAGGGGTATTTGCCATGTTCAGGCGAGTGTCGCCATGTTCAGGGGAGTGTCGCCATGTTCAGGGGAGTGTTGCCATGTTCAGGCGAGTGTCGCCATGTTCAGGGGAGTGTTGCCATGTTCAGGCGAGTGTCGCCATGTTCAGGGGAGTGTCGCCATGTTCAGGGGAGTGTTGCCATGTTCAGGGGAATGTCGCCATGTTCAGGGGAGTTACTTATGAACTCTGCCTTTTTATCGTTTACTTAAATCTCCTCGAGTTACTTAAATCCATTACACTCACTTAACCAATAAACCCTAACCTAACCTAACCTCGCCAACCAACAAAAGTTAGTGAAAACCAATAACAATAACAACAATAATAATAATAATAATAATAATAATAATAATAATAATAATAATAATAATAATAATAATAATAATAATAATAATAATAATAATAATAATAATAATAATAATAATCAACTACTACTTTCTCTTTCATGATGGCCTCCAACCTCCCCTTATACCATCTGGACACATTTAATTACCTAACTATCCTAATACAAAAGTAACTACACTAGCCGAGTTAAATAAGCAACAGATCTAAGCGGCATTCGGTGACTGTTGCCTCATAGTCAATGTCTGGGACTGTTGTTGGCTTAGGGGCCGATGATCTCGTTCCCCTGAGGCAAAGCAATGCAGACCTAAGCAGAGAGAAGGATGGGCGACATTTCAACCAGGCGGCTACGTAGCTTCTGGGCTGCTGCTTCTGTTCCGATAACACCTCGGCCAGTCTGGCGTAGAAGCATCTTGCACTTGGTCCCATCCGGCCAGTGGTTGTTAACACCTGAGGAGTGAAGCTGCTGTCATCCACATTCTCAACTCTTTAAGTTTACTCTCTGTTCTTGTCGTTCTCGTTCCTCCTGTGTGCAGCCTCAGGAGACGGGGTCACGGTGACATGCGGCCATGGGGTCGAATAACCTGATATCAAAGAAGGCTCGTTGTCCCCGTGTCTAGAATCCTCGAGCACTGACGTCTACACAAGTTCCCTTACTTCGTCATGGCATGCGAAGCCACCCTTCTTTCACACCATGGCATAAAAGATATCGTAGGATGAGCCACACACGCATTGGGTGGACATACAGTATCTTCTACAGGTCAACAATACATTAGAGCAATGGCGTCTGTTAATTTTTGTTTGTTAAGGCTAAAGTGTTTTGCCCTTAATGGTAACGTTGTTAGCCAGTTCGAGGCGTCCACCCCCTGCGCTATAACTAAGTTTTTTTGTTCTCAAGTTCACTGACAGCTGTTGCATCAGTTGTTGGAGTTTGTCACTGGGTGTGCTGCCGTCCTGCTACTACTACAACCACTAGTACTACACAGGATACGGTCCACCCTAGTTGACGGTAGATTTAAATAAGAACCAATCTGACAGCCAGGACACTTATCGTACCGTATAATCTACTTCAGCGAGGTTCACTTTTGGAGGTGCTCTCTCTCTCTCTCTCTCTCTCATCATTTAACTTTTGGAGGTGCTCTCTCTCTCTCTCTCTCTCTCTCTCTCTCTCTCTCTCTCTCTCTCATCATTTAATAGTAGAAGCAAAACATGAACGTCTTAAGAGGTAGTAAAGAAGTGACTGAGTATCGTGGTATTTGGGACGACAAGAGGTAACCATACTTCAGATACCAAGAGGGAGGAGGGGGAGGGAGGGAGGGAGGAGGAGGAGGAGGGAGGAGGGGGAGGAGGGAGGGAGTAATATGATTTTCGGGAGGGAGTAAATTTTTCTGGGAAGTTTAACACCTCAAAGTTTAACCTAGAAGGAAAAACCGCTTTTTGCCCCCCTTAAGCTCCCGTGTCCGCCTACGCTATTATACACGTATAGATAAATCTCCTTGGACACTTAATTTTGGCAATATATGTCACCATAAGATGGTGTAATCCTAAGGTTCACTTCTTCTACATGTTGTCATTGTAGTATATTGTAATTATTGTGATGGTGGACACTGCCAAGGTCTCTTAGTCAGTACCTCAGTGAAGACAACAATTACTGTCATCACTGGCTACTGCTCTTACTAATGGCCCTTCAGATATCCTTAATAATAAAATATCCTTTAATTAAAAAAAATATATATGCAATTCATGTAAATTATATTAAACTCTCTTAATTATAATAAACACAACTCAAATAACAATTAAAACAATAATATAACTACAATAATTATCATGTCTAACAAATAGGGAAGAGGTCGCTGGGGAAGGCCTGGGCACCCTTCGTCCACCCAGCTGAGGAAAGTGGAGGCTGGAGAGCGACTGTAGAAAAAAAAGTATGTGTACAGTACAGTCTGCCACTATGGGACACACCTACAAAACAAAACCACTATGTACAAGAAACGACTACCACAGTGACGTCACCGCTACATGACGTCACTGCCACATGACGTCACTGCCGCATGACGACATCAGCCCGCAGAGGTCATCACCAACGGGAAGATTAAGTGACCTGTGAACTATTGCCGCAGTTTACAAATGTCGAAATCATTTAACACAACACAGTGCATCTAGTTCCCTTTGACACCAGGATATAGTACTGAACCACATTATACCAGGATATAGTACTGAACCACATTATACCAGGATATAGTACTGAACCACATTATACCAGGATATAGTACTGAACCACATTATACCAGGAAATAGTACTGAACCACATTATACCAGGATATAGTACTGAACCACATTATACCCCACACACACGACTCAACCAATAGTACTACCCACAAATATTTCATCAGGTAGGGATAACCAGGTA